TTGTTTTATTTAATAAATACTAAATACATTTTAATTTTCTAGGCATATTTGCCTGGAATACAGTTTAAGGGATAGCTTAAAACAGCCTAATTATCTGTTGCTAATCAGCTCTTCTAGTGTTTTAGAATACTTTTAAGTCTAGTACAAGTAATCTTTATAAAAAGTAAACTATTTCTTAAGTCTGGCTAATACAAAAAGGACAATAGGTCAAATCTTTTCTATAACTGGCCTATCATAAAAATTCTTATAATATCTAGAAGGCTAGTGAATTTAAATTCTATTTTTAAATATTTATTTTTTATTTTTAGTTATTTTTATTTATTTTATTTTCTTTTAAATAAAAGATTTTCTACTCGATACTTATCACTTTAAAATTTGCTACAGCTTGATAGTTTTTAGTAAATTTTATTACAATATAATTGAATCAGATTTGTCTGATATCAAATAAAGCTTGAGTTTTTTGTTTTTATTTGGTAATGCATAAACATAAATATTATCATTTGTCATTAATTTATAACACAGTCTTAATATCTACAGTGAAAGGCAAAAAGCCAAACTCTGGATATTACTCTATAAATCATGTCAACACAGCTCTAATATCTACTGTGAAAGGTAAAAAGGCAAACTTTGAGCATTACTCTATAAATCACATCAATACAGCCCTAATATCTACAATGAAAGGTAAAAAGGTAAACTCTGGACATTTCTTCATAAATCACATTTTTTGAAGAGAATTCATTTTTCTTTTTAGATAATCCTAGATCTTAAAATATCACCATTATTATAGTAATGATATTTTATAAGACCAATGTAATAATAAAAATACAAATCTTATATTGCAGATCCAGGATTATCTAAAAAGAAAGATAAATTCTTTTCAAAAGATGTGATTTATGGAGTAATATCTGGAGCTTGTATTTTCATCTTTCACAGTAGATATTAGAGCTATATTGACATAATTTATGAAGTAATGCCTAGAGTTTGCCTTTTCGCCTTTCACTATAGATATTAGAACTGTGTTATAAATCAATAACAAAAAATAATATTTATGTTTATGCATTGTCAAATAAAAACAAAAAATTCAAGCTTTTATTTAATATTAGACAAATTTGATTCAATTATATTTGAGTTTTATTAAAAATATTATCAGAAATGAAGTAATAAAATTATGAAGTGTATGGCTTATATAGTGTTTTAAACAAGTATGTTACAATCTTAAGTTTTATTGGTTTACATAAGTATACTAATTTTAATCAATGCAGATTACAACATTACAGTTACAGCATTACAGTTATAGCATTACAGTTACAACATTATAATTACAGCATTATAGCATTATGACATTACAGTTATAGCTAGTGTTATAGCCTAAAACCTTTACTGAAGTCTGAAACATTTTAGCTTTTGAGTTTCGGTTTCGCCCCAAATCTGAAACTAGGCAAAACATTCAAAACTAGGCAAAACTTCTGAAACTGGACTAAACTTTCAAAACTAAGCAAAACATCTGAAACTGAATATAATGTCTGAAAGATTTAATACTAGACAAAACATCTGAAATGTCCAAACCTAGGTGAAACTAAGCAAAACTTGATCAAAATTAACATATTATGTGATGCAAACTTTGATGCAACAATTTTTAAAAGTCACATGACTGCTGCATTTAAAATTGACCAATGAAATTTTTAAAAATCCTATTAGTCAATTTTAGGTACAACAGTCATGTGACTTTTGAAAGTTTCATTGATTAATTTTATGTATGGTAGTCATGTGACTTTTAGAAATTCTATTTGGGAAAGTCTTTGAACACTTACAATTCAAATGATTTTGTACTTACCAAATATGAACCAACTAATCAAAGCTAATCTAACTCTAATAGTAAGTGCAAAATCACATAAACTACTAAATGGTTGGTAAGTGTCCAGAAACTTTCTCATTCCATTAGTCAAATTTAAGTGCAGAGGTTACATGACTTTTAAAATTGTCATATCGAAGCCTAAGTCACATGATATATTAAGTTTCATCTAGTTTTACCCAGTTTCGCCCAGTTACAGATGTTTTAGACATTTTACTCAGTTTCAAAGGTTTCACTCAGTTTCGGACATTTCATCCAGTTTCAGACATTTTGCCTAGTTTCAGACTTGGCACTTTGAGTGAAACGTATAGGCTAACTTTTTTATAATTGGTCAATTTTATTCAATTGAATTTATACAGTTTAGAGTAGTTTTACCCCTTAATATAGTAAATTTTTTTTTAAAAAATGTAATTCCTATTTATAATATTACAAAAGACTCATTACAAACGAAGCTTTAAGAATCTTATGTATCTCTGAAATTTATTTTGCCTAGGTATACTTCACTTAGAGACTGTTTTTCAACTTAGAAAAATAGTAATAAGGTAATAAACACATTATTTATTGTGAAATCATGTGGTTCTGCACTTCTTTACTGCTGTACTTTTTTATTATTCAAAGAAGATATTGAAAATAAAGCTTTATTAATTAAATTTTCAATATATAGTAGTACAAATAAGTGATGTTAATAGTTGTCTAAAAGTAAAATTTATAAGATTAAAGAAATAGAGATCTATATACATATTATTAATATTATACTAGAGAGTTATTAAAAATAGTTGAATAAGCTTTTTAAAGACAAAAATTGCAACGTTTCAGAATAGTGACATTTCTTTATATTAATAATATAAGAAATTTAAAGCCAAAGAATATTTGAATAAAGAAAAAAATCGGTCAAAAGCTTTACTAATAAAAATGCAATTTTAAAATTTTATTAGTTAATTATCAAATGTTCAAATGTTTAACCAACTATAAATTATTATTCAATTTCATGTGATTGACTAATCACAAGAAAGTTATTCTATAGAGGTGAAACTAGGTTTCAGAGGTTTCAGAAGTTTCTCCTGGCTGAAAGTTTTGGTTTAGATCATAACACTAGTTATGGCATTATGGTTATGGCATTACAGCATATAATATTTACAGCAATTAGGTACTGTGATAGAATGCCATAATGCTGTAATGCCATAATGCCGTAATGCCATAATTCAATAATTCTACCACCAACTATAGTTCTGTGCACTGTATTCTACGTGCTTGAGGGTTACTATCCTGTGGCTCACACTACTCATTAGGTCACACAAAGTAAATTTTTTATTTAACATTACATGAAATCTGAAACTTGAGTTGGTTGGTCTTTTTTTTTTTTTTTTTTTTTTTTTTTAAAAAAAAAAAAAAAACTAAATTAATTGACTTATGTTTATATTCAAATTATGAATTTCTGTGGACCAGAATTTTTAAGGCTTTCCTGAAAAAGGCATTATAAAACTATGGTTTAAATTAAATATTAAAACTGAGACAGTAGAATTAGCGATGCATAGCATCTATTGAACTGCATAAAGAAAATTTTTGTAGCTATACAAATTAGTACATAGAATTCTACTAAAATAAAAGGAACTGACTTAAACATTAAATATAAGAGATTTTGATTACATATCATCAATTTATTTGTTCATTTATATCAGGTTGCACATAGTAGTAATAGCAGAGATATGAAAAACAAAGGTAAATAGAAATAGGAAGGATTGATGCAGTGAATAGTTGTGTAATGTTAAGGTATAATATATTAGGATAGTGTAATTAAAAAGTTTATTATAATGTAAATGCATATGAAATTTTATAATAAAAAAGTCTATTATAACAGACTATGATGTAAGTGTATATTAAATTGAATAAATAAGAAATTTGATCCTAAAGAACTTCTATTTCGGATTTTTCTTGAAAATAAACCACTACATAATAAACAGTGTCATGCTACTGTTGTGAATTGGTAAAGGGGACATTTAATAGAGAAGACTAATGTAATGAAGAAGAAGAAGTGTGAAACAAATAAATAAATATTCAAACTACATAGCAGAATTGTGTATATAACAATAAAGCAATATACATTCCTTAACCCTTACAACAATTTAGATAAAAACTTGTTTATGATTAGTAATTATCATACAACTTTTGAAATGGCATTTAATTTAATTTGTACTTATCTTATCCAGTTAGGATTAACTAAGAGGTTATACTTGTTACAAAAACCTAGTTTCTTAATTTTTTAGCTAGTTATTTATATGTAGTATTGCACAAATTCATATAAGTATACCTTTAAACAGTGCAAGTATAAATCTAATTGTATAGGAATATTTAAACTTTAATTACTTACAAAATCCAAAATGCCTATTGTTTCTGTATGCATTAAGACAGAAAGTATAAAATTAAACTGGATTGGTGTTCCTATAGCTAAAAATATTACAGTAAGATGTTTTTATAAAGATCTTATTGCAGGAAACATTGTTTCTGAGGTGCAGTTTAATCATAAAGATTGTCTGCAACTAGTTAAAGTAGAGTTTTCATTTAACACAACTGGGCTTTTTAATGTTATTAGTATGGAATATAATATAATTGAAGCAATTGAAGCTTGGAGAAACAGAGTGCAGTATTATCAAACAAATAGTTTAATGTTACCATCTTCTGAAATGTCAATTAATGTTTTTGAACAAATGATGAACAATGCTACCAACTTTAATCATTTACTAACATTTACTATCTCAGAACAATTAAATGCACTAGAGAAATTAAGATATGATATTGTTGAATAGATTTGTGAAAATAATGATGGATGGAGCAAAGATACTGCTATAACAACTGAAAAAGAATTTGTTAAAGACTTAGCTGCTACATTATGATATGCAAATAAATGTGATTCAGAAAAGTTGAAAATCCAAGATTTTGCTATTCGTATTGAAATGGAACAGTTTACAAGATGCTATGATATAAGTCACTTAAAAAAAAGAAAGAACAATTTGATAAAACTACACTTGCATAACATTCAAATATTTTATTCAAATATACAAGATCTGCATGAATTAGAAGACCTGCATTTCATTGGCTTGTTAATATGTTAGAGCAATTAGTTACAAATTTGTCTCAATATCAAGAATTTTTACAAAAACAGCTAATACCTGTAACTCAAAATTATTTTTTCTTAGAACTAATTAAAAAAAACAATAGTTTTCTTACTATTTTACAGCCCAATTTGGTTAGAAAATCTCATATTATTGATTGTTATCAAATTTTAGTTGATTTTCTTGAGCAAAGTAACTTTTGAGAAACAATAAACATCAAATCATTTCTTTCAAATAAGCCTGTGTAAGTTTATTAGCAATATTGTAAATTGTTTTTATCAATTGTTTTTAACTAAGTTTATTAATAGGTCAAAATATCGATATATTAAAGAATTAAATAATGGTTTTCTTTTAAAGTAGCATAGTATATACATGATAGTACACATAGTTTTTCAGTAATATACTTATGGCATATATCTGTAAATGCATCTAATTCAGAAATAATGTTACAGAATTTTGAGATTGCAAAAATATTAGAAAAAGATATATATATTTATCATACAAGAGCAATGTGCAAACTTTGGTGATCTAAATGTGAAATGTTATTAGACTCAGTTAAACCAATGCCATTATATTTGTTATATCATGACTTAACTGGTGATTTGGCTGTAGCTGAAAATTAAAATGAAAAAGAAGTAGATAAAAGAATTAAATTAGCTTTGCAAATTGGAGATCCAAAAATTATTACTGATTTATGAGAACACAATCCTGATGCACCAACACATTATAAAGTATTTTGAAAACTTGCACAAAATTTTCTTGCTAGTACTGCAGATTCATTACTTGCTGTTGATGATTGTAGACACAGTTCAGTAATTTATTTAGCAAGAGCAATTTTGGTTAATAATTTTGTATAACAAGTTGTTGCACTATGTTCTTCTGAAGCATTAATTCCTTGTAATCAGTAGGTTCGATTACAATTTTGGCCAAAATCTCCTTATAATTTAAATGCACTACAATATACTGGTCAATTAAATATTAAATTTATGATTCAAGCTCAACAATTTCATATAAATCATCCTGATACACATTATGCTTTAGCACTTTTTCAATATCAAAAAGAATTAGCAATAAAATTTCATGAATATAGTTTATTTTATTTTCTTGATGATAAGCATTGTTGTAAAGTGGGTGAATCTGAGTACCTAGTAGCAGCAGTAGAATGTGGAAAGCAAGTTTTAGTTGACTTAAATGAAACCTTTTTAGTTAGTGATCATGATTTTACTAAAGTTGGAATTATTCCTAGTGTTATAATGAAATGTAATATTCTAGAATCAATTGATAATTCATTCTATAAAGGTTAGGTATTTATAGCTTTAAAAGATTCTATATTTGAAGCATCATCTTCTTTATGTCATTCAACAGAACTTTTTTATATTATTGAAAATTATGATATTAATTTACCAATTTTATTTCTATATATGGATGAAGGACCTAATCATCATGTTAACTATTTATCTGTTCAAATTTCTCTTATTTCTCTTTATTTATCTCTCAACCTTGATTATTTAGTAGCTGTAAGAACACCACCAGGCCATTCATAGAAGAATCCTGTTGAAAGAATTATGTCTATATTAAATCTTAGACTTCAATATGTTGGATTAATACACAAAAAAATGTCAAAAGAATTTAAACAAATTTTAGAACATTGTAATTCAATTAAAGATATTAGAGAGGCAGCTAAAAATTATCCAATTCTTCAACAAGAATTAAATAATAGCTTACAAACAGTAAAAGAACTTTTAAATAGTATCTTTTCTCATTAAAATTTAAAAAATAAACCATTTATACCTATAAATGTTGCAACAGCTAAAGATATTGATCAATTATTTGATGCTATTTTAAAATTAGAACAAACTATATTAAAAACTGATAAAACCTGGAAATCTGTTAAAAATAAGATAATACTTTAAAATTATTAGTTTTATTATGTTTTTATTATATTTTTATTTAATATTTTCTTATTTTAATAGTCAAAATTTAATGCATTTTTTGAGCATTGTTGTCAGTTATGACATTATTTTTTTTCAATAAAGAAGTATAGAAAAAAAGAGTGCAATATTTGTGAGTCTATAAGGCTTCTACAAGATATTTTTGACCAAATTTATCATTTTCCAGATCCAATTCCAGGAAAAGATGATCATTATGCTTCTTTAGATGATGTATATGATAAAAATACTACTAAGATTTATTGACCTTCATTTACAAATAATAATAACAAAAAATTTTAAACAAAATTAAAAAATAAAAATAGTATGCCATTTAATGGTACAGTACAAAGAACAAAAAATGTTGGAGTAACAGTTATGTGTTCAGAATATGAAAGATGATGATTGTTTTATTCCAAACAAGAACTAAATGAATAAAAAAAAAATTTACTACTTGCATTTTTGGATACTATTGAATATTCTTGTAGATTATCATTTTATAATGCAGAAAACCTTTTTGAAATTCAAAAGCAAATTTCTTTACAACCAATTAATGAATTAGAATTAGAAAATAACTCTGAGTCTGAATTTGCAGTTACCAGATTAAAATCAAAAGGTAAAAAATGAGTTAGTAGTGAAATTGAATTAAATAATAGTGAACATATTGGGAATAATACTGATGATTTATTAAACCAAAATATGCAATATTCGGATTCAGAAATTTGAGAAAATTTATTTTATACAAATACTGAATTAATAGTGAATTAATAAATAGTAAAAAAAGCAGCAATAATAGTGAATTCACATATAGTAAAAAAAGTGATTATTATAATGATGATAAACTAGTAAATAGTAAAGCAAATGTTGATGACTCTAATAAATCTATAATTAATGAATTAATAAATGGTGAAGAAAATAATTATGATAATAATGAACTAGCAAATTGTAAAGTAAATGATAATAATTCTAGTGAATCTATAAATAATGAATTAGTAAATAGTGAAGAAAGTGATTATGATTCTGAGACCAAAAGTTTATCAAGCCTTGATGCTGACAAAACAATAATTAAACAGTTATTTGAAAAGGTGTTTATAAATGATGGATTAACATGTAATTCTCTGATGAAAAAGGCTTATTACTCTGCCCAAATATTTTCATTGCTATGTTTTAATTGTGATGATACTGATATTGTTACTCCAATTCCAGCTACTCAATATCCATTATGCACAGAATGTACACAAAAAGGTGTTAAAACACCAACTCATGAAAAGTCCTTAAAATTTATAGCATGTATTCACAAAAACAAAAAAAAGTTAGTACAAAAATAAAATTTTAAATTAAATTCTAATTATATTAAATAAATATATTAATTAATTATATTGTTTTATAGATGACTTGATAATGATTAAAAATATACTATTTATAATAAATCAACTTCTTTCATAATTAAATACATTAAATATTCGTTCATATTATAATAGTTACTAGTTAAATATCATATTATTAAGTTAGGTCATATATATTTTATATTTATATTAGACAAATGTTGATTTTTTTAAACCAGATTTATTAAATTTATTAAAATATATATTAGTATTATCATTTTAAACCAAATTGTTTTTATAAAAAAAAAAAATTTTTTTAAGTTTTTGCTAAATTTGGGTCAGCGGGTAATGTTAAACGAAAAATTTTTTTTGCATGGCCTTATAAAGAAATTAATTTTTTTTTTTGTCAAGAACATTTCATCAATGATAATGATAGTAATTGAAAGTTACTACGATCTGCATTAATCAATAATTTAGCTATTTTTTATTTACTGATCACAATAACATAAGCGTTATATGCAGATTGTCGTAAACGGAAGGACAATACCGTTACTAGGCGTGTAAGTGACAATAACTGCATTATTCATCAAAGATATGTTAGATGCTATTCAGCCGCTATCGCAGCCGACTAGCATCTAACAAATCTTAGATGAATAATAACTGCAGTTACATGCCTTATTATTAAACATTGATTATCCGTTTTTAATTATTAAGAAAGATCATGCGGATGGGTTCTGTTACGGTTATAACCATTTAGTCGCAGTTAAAACCGTAACCGATACTAGCCGGTCGACTGACCGACATAACCGATGATGATCAGCGTTTTGAAGTAATTTTCACACGCTCATATTTTTCCCACACCAACATGATACGTACGCCGTGTCAGTATTATCTAAACTCCTGCTGGGTCTGGATAAATGAAAACCATTACTTATACTAAAAAAGGATTTTTCAACCATAGTCTTACTAAAATAGGAAAAAATATAGGGGACGGAAAAGTTGATTTAAACCATCCCTCATATTTCATATTATCGTACTGATACCAAATTTGATGAATTTTTTTTCTTTTAATTCTATAACTATATAAAATTAAAATAAAAAAATTTTTATCTTTTAATTCTATATATAAAATTAAAATAACAAAATTTTTATCAAGTTTGGTTAAATAATTGTTGAGATATTTTACTTTAAACTTTAAAAAAAATTTACTTAGAAAAATTTGCTTGGTTTCTATTGACACATCCCCATATCTTTAGCCAGTAATACCTAATATAGACAAATGAAAAATAAAAAATGCAATGATAACGACAAATCGCATCGTTTTATATGTTAATTATGTTCCTAATCAAAATCTATCAAATCAACCAAAACCATTCGGTTAATTTTTTTATTAGATGTCCCAGAACTTATGAAAACAGTTGTAAATCATGCTTTTTTCAAAAAACAATTTTCCGTATAGAGCACACCCTCGCTAACAATACCACCTCGATTTATAATGAACATTTTACCAGGTCTATTACTTGTATATTTTGTAAAAGACTCAGGCATGTTAAACAGAATTTATAAACGTGACATATAAAACAAATCGGCTTCACAATATATAACTTTGGTACAAGACCTGCAAAGTATACAAATCAAAAAAACCAGCGTAGATTGTAAAATATCCTAGCTACCCTTCATGGCGAAATATGATATTAATCAAAATTTGGGCGTTCAATAGGTTTGCTTACTAAAACAGCATTTATTGGTTTAGGAAGATTTTGATAATTCAAAAACCGACTTGTATAAATAGCTTGCTTATGTGTCTGGTAGTTGAGTCGTATTGATGTGATTTGATTTGAATTTTTGCCTGTGTTTTTAATTTCTTTAAATTGCTTATAAAATTCTGTTGTTTCATTTTTCAAAATTTCAAAAAACTTATCCAGCGCATAAGTTAATTCATTAGCAGTTGGTCGGTTTTGAGGTTCAGCATCTAAGCATTTATTCATTAAATCCAAAAGTAGTTTGGGAACCTCACAATTAATTTCAGGTCTATGACCTAAGCAAATTTTTCTTACTAAATTTTCATCATGCGGAATATCATGATATGGAGGATATCCAGTGAAGACTTCTGACATGATAATTCCAAAAGAATAAATATCTGATTTTCGACTGTACTCTTTTCCGCCCGTATATAATACTTCTGGAGCAATGTAAGGTATTACACCAAAAATCCCTTCAGCGCTTGGATCTTGAGACACTGGTTTACACAATCCAAAATCAGTAATGAAAGAACTATACATATTCATGTTAACTATATTTCCGGAATGAAAATCTTTATGCACTAAATTAGATTTGTGGATTGTATTAAGCCCATCAGCTACGTAATATAAGATAGAAACTTTAAATAACCAATCTAAATCATTATATTTGCTATCTAATAATTTTCGAAGGCTTCCCTGCTTTGCGAATTCCATAACCATCATATAATTATTATCATTTGGATTTTTAGTTATTCCATAAATTTCAATTGCCGAATGCCCTCCATGTTTATGTTGGTTTTTAATCTAAATAATCAATTAGGATAAATAAACCTGAATAATAATAACAATAATAATAAGTTATATAATATATACTTCATTTAAAAATTCTTGGGTTATGTCTTTAGAATTATCAAGGCCTTTTAAACAAACATCAATTTGTGCACTTCGGTTCCATACACCCTTTTGTTTATCAAATCCGTAAATATATCCGTCAGTCCATATTGCCTTAAAAACGGTGCCAAAGCCTCCCTTAGCAAGATACTTTATATTTGTAAATTTACTAAAAGGTATCCATTCGATAATGTCTTTAAATCTATTTGCACTTAGTTGAGTTTGTTTAATAAAGTTATCAATGTCAGGATTGTCACTTGTCCAATTATGGAATTCCTTTTGAAATCTTAACATTGAATAATAAGTATAAAAATGCATTAAAAACTACGATTTAAAAACAACTAATACATACCGTCTATCATGGATTGGGTAATTGAAAATCAATTATTATTAGAATTATAATTAGTGCATTGATTTGTATAATGATTTATCCTGATCTGTATTAATCAATAACAGATTATTCATCAAAAAATTTTGACTAATAATTGCAGTTATTGTCCATTACACGCATAACAACTATATTATAATACAGTAATACGAAAAAATTCTTACTCGCTATAGTGGCACAAAATATTTGTATTAGTTAGAATCAACATTCGTCAAGGTATTGACTTGTACTGTGCGATTTACTGTAAAACTGTAAAAAAAATTCTATAAAGAACTTACTCGCTGTATTGACAAAATATTTGGATTAGTTAGAATTAACGTTCGTTAGGGTATTGACTTGTACCGTGTGATTTACTGTAAAACTGTA